GTGCAGTAAACTTTATAAACTTAGCAGACAATAAGTTAACCGGCAGTTTTTGAGTGATAAACTAAAAAGATTAAGGAAAAAAATTATTGAAATAATGAAATGTAATTTTTTGATTTCATTCAAACAGTAGAAATATTCATTTTACTTTTCTTTTTTCTTTTTTTTGCATTGATATTTGTTGTAATTGTTGATGAAAACATTATAACCACTGATAATTGGTTCTTTTCCTTTTTTTGTTTGTCAACTATTAATGCTTTGATGGTGAAATATCTGTTAAATAGATCATTTTTCAATTTTATCACCACCACTGATTTTGATGACAGATTGGAATGGTTAAAAAAGGAAAAAATAATTACACAAAATAAACTCTTTTTTATTTTTTAGTATACTGTTTTTGAATTTCAAAGGGAAGAAAATCAAAATTCTTTGCATTAGGATTTTTCAGCTTTTCTTTCAACCCTTATTTTTTCCTGTTTGACAATGCTGTAATATAAGTATAAAAAATAAGTGTGTGTGTGTTTTTTTTTCTTGAGCTGACAATTTGTGAGCACAAAAATGTTATAAAAGTAATCCATTGTTTATGCAAAAATTTTTGCTTTTTTTGTCTAACAACTATTGTAAATATCATAAAAAATAAACGTTTTTTTTGTAGTTCTTTAAATATTTCGAAGTTTTTTCTGCCATATTGCTTTTTTGTTTAATATCGGCGATTGAAAATAACGCTTAAAGTTGATACTGTAGAAGAATGGAATAATTCTTCTGTTGTAAAGGAGCACAGAACATTAAATGAGAGTAAATTTTAAATGTTTTGAAGGAGTTTAAATGGCGTTTTTTTTAATGCATTTTTTTAACAACTATTTAATAACCAATAAATGCATCTTTGCTCTTAAACAATGTAATAATTTTCTTTTTTTTCATTGTTTTTTTAGACTGATATTTTTCCAATCAAAATGAAACTAGTAGGTTTTTTTTGGTTTCCGATAAGGTTAACCATCTATAGTGGTGTGATCTTTTGTTGTTCAATAAAAACTACCCAAAAAAGTAGTTGTTGATGTCACTTATGTTTATTTAAGCTAACACACATATTTTCTTGTATTTTCTAGTCAGAAGCACAACTGAACACTGTAGTTTGCAGCTTATAGCCTAAAATAGTAGTATCCAAAAACTGTCTGATACCCTTCGACACTATCATTCAATTATTAGTCATTGAAATTTGTGAGATTAAACGTTGGAAACTATAAAAATTGTTAAACTAAAGTTGAAGAAAATAATGAAAAAGGCAGTTTATTGGTGAGAAATAGTTTTTTGTACAATTGAAAATAGAGGAAAAACAATTTTTTTTTAAATCTTTCTTCACCTTCTCAGCTGATTAACTGTCTACTAACCCCGTCAAATTCACATGAAACTTCCATCTAGTCAACAGCAAATATTCATTAGTAGTCAAAAATAGTGCATTTTTTAACGGTTTTTTTTGCTGATAATAATATTCAGTAAACTTTTCTTTTACAAAGCAAGAAAAAACCGATAAGGTTTTGGCAAAATGGGGGCGATGAATGGAATTGAAACAGAAGATAGTTGAACTGTTAAGAAACGTGAACAGTCTGCTGGTAGTTTATGATTTCAATGACCAATAAAACAGCACCTAAAAAAGGTGTTTCTTTGTTCGTATTTTGACATTTAAGAACCAGCAGATACCAGTGTTTTTACTGTAACTCTTAATCTTTTCCTGTTACTCTTGTTGTTGTTTTTTTGTTACTAAAAGGTGTTTTAGATGAAAAATACAGATTCTGAAATCTTTACTGACAATAGTCATCAGATATTCTTTTTGGAGGAGTTTATGTTTGACACTGCTGTCTCCTGTTGTCAATATAAAAATTTGGTGTCACAAACTTAATTGTGGAAGCTAATATTTCAACAACTGTTTTTTTTTCTGTTGAAATTTTTGATGAAATAAATTAATTACATTTTATTTGTTGACAATGCTTTTTCTGTCTTTTTTTTTAAAAATTTTTGTTTTATTTTATGTAAATTTTACGAGACAAAATGCCAATAACCAAAAAAAGGAAGGGGGAATTGATCAGGATTTTCACGTGAAAATGTTCAGGAAAAGGAGCGATGTCGGCAGAACGTATATTGGGCTTTTTCTTCTCTGTTACTAAGTAATTTGTGAAATTATCGTTTTTTGCTGTTCGTTTTTTTTTTCGTTGTACATATATATTGTTCTGATATTTATTTACTGGTTTTTTTTTACATTTTCTCACTTTTTGATTTACCTGTCTGAGTTAGGTCTGCCAACACTCAGCTATTTACCGTACGATATAGGTCAAAGAAAAAAAAAAGAATTACTGTAGACAAAATGAGGGTTGTTTTTTAGACTGTCTGCTTTTGAAATAGAAAATTTGGATGTCTCTTATGATCTAAAAAATAGTTTTAACTGCAGAGTATGCCATGCAGTATAAATTACAGAGGACTGTATACAGTGTATTCAGATTGCTGTGAACGGCAATGAATTGTTGTCTTCAAAAATAGAGATTGAAAGGCCTTCATTTGGCGAACTCCCCTGATACTAATGTTTTTTAGAACAACGGTTAGCACAGACTACAGTAGCACTGTATCCTGTTCTCGGTCATCGGAATGTTGAAATGCTTATTCAGCAGGAATTCCAGACTTAATTTTGAAATATTTTCTTCTTTATTCTGAACAAGTAATTGAGTGTACGATACACATAAATAAAGTTTGTTCATTTCAGTATGTTGAAACAACTGGAAAACTTGCAAGGACCAGCTCGAAAGAAAAGTACTTTCAAAGTTTTTGCAAAAAAAAACTTCTATTTGCTGCAAGGAAACATTTACTCATTCTTGACGAATTGTCTTAAGAATCATTGCTTTACTTTACACCATTTTTCCTCCTCAAATACAAAACAGTCAGTGTTTTGCTTCTTGAAAGTATATGTAAATCTTTGATTTACATTATTTACGATAAAATATTGTTTTTTTTTCCAAACTATCTGCTGAAGATGATAATACTGAACAGTTGGGGTGGTAGCCACAATCGTAACAACGACCCACATCGACGGCGATGGCGACGATAACTACGAAAACGACATGAAGGATAGATGGAATGACCACAACGGTTGTTGCTGTCTGCAAATTTTGTTTGCTCATTTATTTTTGCTTTATTGTCTTTTCTTTCTTTCTTTTTTTTTTTGGTTTGGAATTTGTTCATTTATCTTTTAAAAATTTGTTTTCTTCTTCTTGTTTTCTGTGGTAGGCTAAATAGTAGAGTTCCGAAAAAAAA